GCTTGATGGCTTCAAAGATGCTGTCTACGATGCTGAAGATCTGCTCAACCATATTAGCTATGATTCCCTTCGATGCAAGATGGAGAGCACGCAAGCTGCAAGCAAAACTAAACAGGTCTGGAACATCCTTTCTTCTTCTTTTAGAAATATCTATGGTGACATCAATTCCCAAATGAAAGATATGTGTGAAACCCTCAAACTTTTTGCTGAAAATAAAGATATCCTTCGTTTGCAAACTAAAAGTGTCAGAGTTTCTCATAGAGCACCTTCAACTCCTATGGTCAATGAATCTGTCATGGTTGGTAGGAAAGATGACCAAGAGAAACTAATCAACATGTTGCTATCAGAAACCAATACTTGCATGGACGTACTTGCAATTGTTGGCATGGGAGGTGTCGGAAAAACAACACTTGCACAACTTGCTTACAATGATGAAAATCTTCAAAAGCACTTTGATCTCACAGCATGGGCCTGTGTATCAGAAGATTTTGATGTTGTTAGAGTAACCAAAAATCTCCTTGAATCTGTCACTAAAACACCATGGGAAACCAATAATCTTGATTTACTTCGAGTTGAGTTAAAGAAAAACTTAAATGGTAGGAGATTTTTCATTGTGTTGGATGACTTATGGAATGACGATCATTGTGATTGGGAAGAACTTGTATCTCCGTTGATTTATGGAAAAACTGGAAGCAAAGTGATCATCACAACACGCAACAAAAAAGTGGCAGATGCCGCACGCACATTTCCTATTTTTGAATTAGATCCTCTATCAGAAGAAGACAGTTGGTTTTTACTCTCCAAAATTGCATTTGGAAGTGGAGACTTTTCTGAAACTCAACAGCAAAACGTAGAGGCAATTGGAAGGAAGATTGCAAGAAAGTGTGGTGGTTTGCCGATAGCTGCAAAAACACTTGGAGGACTGTTGCGTTGGAAAATAGATACTAAAGAGTGGATCGACGTTTTGAACGATGACATCTGGAACTTAGAGAATGATACTGTTCTGCCTGCATTGCGCCTGAGTTATCAATATCTTTCCTCTCAATTAAAACGATGTTTTTCCTATTGCTCTATTTTTCCAAAGGACTATCCGCTTGATAGGAAGCAATTGGTTTTGTTGTGGATGGCAGAAGGCTTCCTTGATCATTCTCAAGACAAAAAAACCATGGAAGAAGTAGGTGACGAGTGTTTTGCTGAATTGTTATCCAGATCATTGATTCAACAATTGCATGATGATTCTCGTGGGCAAATTTTTGTCTTGCACGACCTTGTTAATGATTTAGCTACAGCTGTATGTGGAAAAAGTTGTTACAGGCTTGAATTTGGCGCTAAGAGCTATGAAAATGTTCGCCACTTGTCATATAATCAAGAAAAATATGACATTTTCAAGAAGTTTCAGACTTTCTACAAATTCACACGCTTGAGAAGCTTCCTTGCCATTCACTTTGCATGGACAGAATGTAAATTATCAAGAAATGCGGTCAATTATTTGCTACCCACATTTGGAAGGTTGCGTGTGTTATCGTTATCAAATTATGGAAACATCACCTCGCTACCCGTTACAATTGGTAATTTAGTGCAGTTGCGCTATCTAAATCTCTCTTACATGAATATCGCAAGCTTGCCTGACACCATATGCAACCTCTACTACTTGCAAACCTTGATTTTATCTCGGTGCTTTAAACTCACAGAATTGCCAGAACATGTTGGAAAATTAATTAATTTGCGTCATCTTTATATTGATATGACAAGCATAATAGAGATGCCGAAGCAAATTGCTGAACTGAAAAACCTTCAAACTCTAAATGTTTTTGTAGTAGGCAAGAAAAATATTGGTTTAAGTGTTAGAGAGCTTGGGAAGTTTCCTAAGCTACGGGGAAAACTAGTCATCAAGAACCTGCAAAATGTCATTGATGTCATGGAGGCAAGTGATACCAACTTGAAGAGCAAAGAACATGTTGAGAAATTGACGCTACAGTGGGGCAAGGAAACTGATGACACACTTAATGAAAGAAACGTGCTTGATATGTTACAACCATCTGCAAAACTTAAGAAATTGAGCATTGACTTGTATGGTGGGACAAGTTTTCCAAGTTGGTTTGGAGATCCTTCGTTTTCTAACATTGTGTCCCTTAGAATTAGTAATTGTGTGAATTGCATGACACTTCCACCACTAGGGGAGCTACCTTCTCTCAAAGATTTGAAGATTTGTAATATGCCAATTTTGGAGACAATTGGGCAGCAGTTCTATGGCATGGCAGCAGGAGGTTCCAATTCTTCGTTCCAACCATTTTCTTCCCTTGAGAATCTTGTAATTGAGGATATGTCAAATTGGAAGGAATGGCATCCTTTTCCAGACAGCATGTTTCCTTTTCCTCGTCTAAAAACTCTGAGGTTATATAGGTGTCCCAAATTGAAGGGACATTTACCTAGTCATCTTCCTTCCTTAGAAGTGATTGAAATACATGGTTGTGATCATATCTTGGCAACACCACCAACTCAACATTGGCTCTCCTCAATAAAAGATATTTATATTAAAGGAGATTTGGATTCAGAAAGCAATACTAAAAAAACCCAATGCTCATTGCTTGAGAGTGATTCTCCATGTCTGCTGCAACATATAGTCATAAGGAACTGTCATATGCTAAAATCTGTACCTAAAATGATTATTAACAGCACCTGTCTTCGAAGCTTGACTCTCCATGGTATTAGTTCTCTCACTGCATTTCCATCAAACGGTTTACCCACTTCTTTGCAATCACTTTATATTACTAAATGTGAGAATTTAATATTCCTATCTCCTGAAAAGTGGAGCAGTTACACATCACTTGTGTCTCTTTATTTATCTAGAAGCTGCAATATTACCTCCTTCCCATTGAACTGTTTTCCTATGCTCCAATATCTTTTCATCCGTGAATGTAGGAGTTTGGAATCTATTTTTATTTCAGAAACTTCTTCTTGTAGCTCGTCAACCCTAAAAACTCTTGTGATTGAGGATTGTGAGGCACTTAGATCACTACCTCAACCGATGGACACCCTCACCTCTCTTGAATTTCTCTCTCTCTCCAATCTTCCAAATTTGAATTTATCATTATGTGAAGGAGCTTTCCTACCTCCCAATTTACAATCAATTCATATTGATTCTGTGAGAATAAAAAAGCCTGTAACGGAGTGGGGTCTCCAAGGCCTTACTGTTTGTTCATCAATGTCTATCGGAGGTGATGATAACGTGAACATGTTACTCAAAGAGCCGTTGTTGCCAATTTCCCTTGTGTCTCTACGTATAAAAAGTCTCTCTGAAATGAAATCCTTAGAAGGAAATGGACTTGGACACCTCTCCTCTCTAGAATGCCTTCATATTTTGGATTGTCCGGGGCTTGTGTCATTGCCAGAAAAAGCCTTTCCCTCCTCGCTGAAAACACTTTATTTCGGGAATTGTCCAAGACTAGAGTCATTGCCAGAAGACAGCCTCCCTACCTCTCTTGAGGATCTGACCATCATAAGGTGCCCTTTGTTAGAAGAAAGGTATAAACGGAAGGAACATTGGTCAAAAATTGCCCACGTCCCGGTCATAAAAATAAATAACCAACTCACAATATGAGCCATGACCATTGAGAAGCCAAGAGAATGAAGAATTCCCATCATGTTTTAGGTATGAATGTTACTTTTTGTTTGTTTTATGTCAAAATTATTATTATTTCTGATGCTTAATTTTATGTTAATGTATTCTCTTTCTATCTTAATCATGTGAAGACATTAATGTGTTAGTATATTATTCAATGTATCTTTTTAACTATTATTACACTCACTGTTGCTTTTAACGTGTGCGAGACATTTTAGTTCATTCATGATACTCTCTACGAAATTGAAGTTTAAGCGTGTGTATTATAATCATTATGCTAATAAATTAAGCATGGACAAGTTCGAATTAAATAAATTAAGGTTGAAGTTGAAGATGAAGAAGGTAACAAGCTTCTTAAAGTTTTTAGAAAAATTAATAGTATATATTTTTAAATGCATATAATGAATAATATTTTCATGACACAAAACGGAAAAACGGAAGAAAATGTATGGGCAGAAACGATGATGATTATAAATTTTAATAAGTATCACAATCAAATTATATAAATATTTGAAAAAAAGTTATATAAATTTTTATGCATGTTGATGATAATATATATTTAAAAAGTTAAATATTAAAAAATAAAATATGATATTTAAAAATTATAATTGTTTTTTACGTGTCTTTATATTTTAAAAGTGTTGTAAGATATTTTCATTTTCAACACTATCAAATATATCACTCTTTATGTATGTTACAAAGCAATCATTAAAAATTTCATCATTCATAGGATTGCGCAGTTGGTTCTTCATAAAATTTATAGCTAAGAAATTTCTTTCAACCGTTGTTGTAGTCACAGAAAAAAGTAATGTCAACTTCAAAAGTAAGTACACAATTAGATAAACAATGTGTTTTTTAGTCTACACCATCATTCTTGAAAGATCACTAATTTCCTATAAATTAGAAAATTGCTCACTAGAACAAACATTCATGATGTAGTTTTCAAGTTGACTGCCGAATCCCATAAGCTCTACTAAAGAAAATTCAGACAGATAAAATCGAGCTAGATTAATCAATTCTTTCTTGTCAAACGCAACAAATGAATTCCATGGACTTAAACTTGCTATGTAACACCCTTTTCTACCCCAAAAATATAATGGCAAATCGCTCATATTTATCAGACTAAAATATTAAATGCAATAAAATCATCTCAAAATGGCGCACATTTCTCAAAAATTCAAATATAGTCAATGCTCCGTAAACAACGGGTTTTCCCAAAATTACTCAAAAGATAGCGGAACTCAAAAAGTCAATAATCCAAAGTTTTTCTTGCGCCGCAAGGCAATCAACATAACAAAAACTCAATAAAATATAGTTTGACTCAAAGACCCCAACCCGATGTTACACTATCAGAGCAAGACCCTCTAAGTCGACCATAATGGCCAACGACCCAAAAGCTTTAAAAAGTCCTCGACGACATCCACAACTAAACCTAGTCATCTGCACGTTAGAAGAAAGGTATAAACGGAACGAACATTGGTCAAAAATTGGCCACATCCCAGTCATAGAAATAAATAACCAACTCACAATATGAGCCATGACTATTGAGAAGCCAATAGAGTCAAAAATTGTTTTAGGTATGAATGTTACTTTTTGTTTGTTTTATGTCAAAATTATTATTATTTAGTTATAAGGTGTATACTTGTGGATATTAATATTGTCGAGTTCCACAACAATCAAATGAGATTTTTAATCATTCATGCAAATTATTAACTAGATTTGTCTGCCATTTCCAGAGTCTTGGTAATTCTTGTGGCTGACATAGACTGCTAGAATTTGGTTGCTTAAGAAGGTTTACTGTCTGTTATCTTCTCCAACACTGCTATCTATTGTGTGTAAATACTTATGCATAAAAATGATAATAATAATAATAATATATATTTAAAAAGTTAGATATTACAAAACAAAATATAAATGTATATAAAAAAAAATTGAATACACCATAATGTTCAAATATTATAATTATTCTCTACATATCTTCGCATTTTAAAAGTGTTCTAAGATTTTTTCATTTTCAACACTATCAAATATATCACTCACTATGTATATTACCAAGCAATCATTTAAAAATTCATCTTCCATACGATTGTGCAGTTGGTTCTTCATAAAATTCATAGCCGAGAAACTTCTTTCAACGGTTGTTGTAGTCACAGGTAAAAGTAAGTACATCATTAGATAAGCAATGTGTTTTCTCAGTCTCCACTGTCATTCTTGAAAGATCACTAATTCTCTATAAATTAGAAAAATGCTCACTAGAACAAACATTCGTGATGTAATTTTCAAGTTGATTGTCGAGTCCATAAGCTCTACCGAAGCAAATTCGGACGGATAAAATCAAGTTAGATTAATCAAATTTTCTTGTCAAATGCAACAAATGAATCCCGTGGGCCTAAACTTGCTACACAAATAAGCGATTCACTATTCACCTCGGTAAATCTATTATTCATAGTTGTCTATCAATCACTTGATATAAGACCTCGACTTGAAAGTGATGTAAGTTTGAAAAAATTTCAACTTTACAACTTGGTTTTCTATATAACATGAAGGCATCGTTCATATTTATAATGTCAATACTATGTTTCTCACAAAACAATGACACTTCATCAAGTAGACTTGACCAACCATCTTCTCTCATATTTTGCAATCTTTTCTTTGATACTTTAACAAATGTCATAGCATTTACAATATTTTGATCTTTTCTTTACATTTATTGAGACAAATCATTAGTAATTCCCAATACATATCATCAAATGCAAATTAAAAATAAATTTAAAGGATTGCAAAGTATTCAATAATTGACGAGTTTCAACTCGTTGCTCTGTGCTAAGGCTATCTTTTAAAATCATATCTAGAACATCACACACAGAAAGAAACAAAAGAACCAGTCTTCGTAATGTACCATAATGTGATTCACATCTAGTATATCCAATTATTATTAGCGTAGTTTCTTGATTCAAACCACGACAAGTTAAAATTTTCCATTCTATAAGGCTTCCATTACTTTAAGAATTTGACTTTCTCTAAGAATATCTTTGTGCTTGCATGAAACTCCAACAACATTAGATAAATTGTTAACTACAACAAAAAACCAAGCAATGTCATCATGCTTTTTAGCAACTGCTACAAGTGCCAATTGCAGTTGATGAGCAAAACAATGAACATAGAATGCACGCTTATTTTCTTTCAATATCAAATTTTTGAGGCCATTAAACTCTTGCATATTACTTGCCCCGTTATATCCTCGTCCACGAACTCTTGACAAGCTTAAATTATACTATGTCAATAAGGACTCAAGTGCTAACTTTAAAGACATAGCACTTGTATTTGCAACATGGACAATACCAAGAAACCTCTGAATGACACAATCTTCCTTGTCTACATAACGTAAGACAACAACCATTTGCTCTTTAACTGAAACATCTCGAGATTCATCAATTAAAATAGAGAACAAATCAATATAAAATTCATCAATAATAACTTTTGTGGTCTTAGAAGCAGCAACTTTCACAATATCTTTTTGAATGCTAAGTGACACTAATTTGAGATTTCCACAAGCTTTTGTCAATAATTTATCAATCTCTTCATTATGATTACAAAGAAATTGTAGAATCTCAAGAAAATGATCTTTATTCTTTAAGTCCACTGATCCATAATTATCGTGAAATGTCAATCCCAACTTTAATAAAAGTCGAATATAATCAATTGTCGTTAAATAAATCTGATATTCCCTATTGATCAAGTCAGATTGTTTATTCATAGCAACTTCAATATGTTGTCTTTGATTCATTACTGTATTACATTTTCTCCAAACTTGGGTGTGAGCACTATTAGGACCTCCAACATGGACGTTGAGTCTATCTTTCTTTTTTCAATTTGAAAATCTCTCTATTACAAATGCATCCCAACCTTTGTGTATTTTTATCTCGTGTCTCATAAGGTAACATGATAAAAATCGAGTCACAAATATGAAATCACAACACAATAATATAATATACGGAAAAAATAAGAATAAAGGGAGAGACTTATTTGAATATTGTCTTTTAACTCCATTATGATATTCCCTATTGATCAAGTCAGATTGTTTATTCATAGCAACTTCAATATGTTGTTTTTGATTCATTACTGTATTACATTTTCTCCAAGCTTGGGTGTGAGCACTATTAGGACCTCCAACATGGATTGTTTATTCATAGCAACTTCAATATGTTGTTTTTGATTCATTACTGTATTACATTTTCTCCAAGCTTGGGTGTGAGCACTATTAGGACCTCCAACATGGACGTTGAGTCTATCTTTCTTTTTTCAATTTGAAAATCTCTCTATTACAAATGCATCCCAACCTTTGTGTATTTTTATCTCGTGTCTCATAAGGTAACATGATAAAAATCGAGTCACAAATATGAAATCACAACACAATAATATAATATACGGAAAAAATAAGAATAAAGGGAGAGACTTATTTGAATATTGTTTTTAACTCCATTATGATATAAACATTAAAAGATAAAGATTTAAAAGTAGGAGATTTATGAAGAAAAAAAATAAAATAGTGTATATAAGAAAGAAGAAAATAAAAAAGAGAGTACAAATGAAAACAATATGTTGTTGTATTATACAGATTGATTTATAATTAGAATAATCTATACAACTTTCTCATGTCTATTTAACTTCCATTTACTTTAAAAAAATTATAAAATAAAATTAATAGTAAAATTTATGTTTTCTAGAATTTAAATCAAATGAGTGGTATGAAGATAATGATATATTTTATATGGGGTCAATATTCTAAAATTAGTCATTATCAAATTTTTAAAAAAAAATAAGTGTGCTCACTTGCCCCATCGCACTAAAGGTAGATTATGTCAATTAACCTTAAAATAAAATTAAAATAATACCCTCACAAGCTAGACTATGAAGATTAAGAAGTCCAATCTTAGAAATATGTGAATCAAACGCGGGTTTATATAATGACTTTGTCAGAAAATCAATTAGTTAAGTGCGAGTATGAATGGGGAACAACTTGACAAAGTTGTATTCAATCTTTTCGCGCATGACATGACAATCTATGAGTTATTTTAATGAAATAATGTAATGTTGAGAGAATTTAAAATGATTCGGACAAAAATATATGTTTGGATAAAAAATAAGAATTGTTAAAATGATGGAAGTCTATGAAATATTTTGTTAAAATTAAATTTAACGATTTTAAAATTTCAAATTGAACATAAAATTTCTCTCACACTCCATAAAATTCAATATTTTGTTCAAAAAATTTCAAATTCATCTTACACTCCATAAGATAGTCTATCTCTAAGGTAGTTTTATCACAGATGTATAAATGAAGTATATACACATCTTTGATAAAAATATCTAGAGATAAACTACCCTCTCAAAAAATTTGAAGTTGAAAAGGTTTTCTAAAGCGAATAAGATTGAAAAGGCTTATTTTGAATTTTGAAGCAACATTTATTGCTTCGTTGCCAGTGTTTCTATGAGTCTAAAGGCATAGTGTTAGGAATTTAAAATGAAAACTAAGTGTTTGGAGGTGATCTTTTCTTTTGATGTAGTGTTTATATGGTGCTACATGTATGACTGACTCTTTGCTCATATTCATTTTTAGGAATGAGTTGTCTATAATTGAAAGGGAAGGGGGATGTCTATGGGGAGAGGATGGCTATGCTCAATGCAGTGTTGAACAATATTCCGTCTTTCATGTTGTCCTTTTACAAAGCTCTGGTGATATGTTAATTATCACTTTTAGCACTCGATATTTTAGACAGCTTAATGCATGACAATTGTCTCTTCAGATTTTTTTTAAGAAATGGTAGAAATATATTACTGATATATCCTCATAAGGAGTAGTTCATATAGAATGATAAAATAATAGCATGTATTGTAATAAGACTGTAGACACTGATTTAGTTCTTACTCTTTAAATAATTATAATCATGGTTTGTTATTTTCGGAATAGAAAAAACATTTTTGTATAATTGACATATTATTCTAATGGAGTTTATTAGCTGGACGGTTATCGAAGTAGAAAACCAGACACTGCTATGAAGTATTTTCCTCTTGCAGATAGAATCCCAACTCTGTTGTTTACTAAAAAATATACTTTTATATGAAATGAAATTATATTTTCCTATATAACCTTTTGTTGAATAAGTTTCTTAATAGAAAATTAATTTTTCCTTATCATTTAAATCTTATCTTATCTTCTTGCATGTGTTCTTAAGCGACTATGAATCTCTAAACTATACTCACATGGCACAACATGGTTAAGAAAGTGAAAATATTATCATTCAATTTTGTCCGCATTTTGAAATTTGTATGAATACGATTACAATCATAACTATCCTCAAATTTAGTAATATCAAGGTTTGTTATATAAACTATTACTACTTCAAAAATTGTAATCGCTAGTTTAAAAATTTATACAATATCAGGCCACATAGTAAATTCTTATTAAAAGAATCTGTCCAAGAATTTAGTCATTTCTAGAAGACAGACTCCTTTCATCTCTTAAGGACTGCC